TTTTAATTTTTTTTTTTTTATTTATTTATGATAGTCACAGAGAGAGAGAGAGAGAGGCAGAGACACAGGCAGAGGGAGAAGCAGGCTCCATGCACCGGGAGCCCGATGTGGGATTCGATCCCGGGTCTCCAGGATCGCGCCCTGGGCCAAAGGCAGGCGCCAAACCGCTGCGCCACCCAGGGATCCCCCAGCATGTTGATTATTTCAAATAAAAGTTACCTAAGAGACAGATGCAAGAAGAACACTCAGATCCTCCTCTGTCTCCTGAAAGCAGGAAATAAATCTCCCATGTGAAAGGTGTCCTCCCTGTACCAGGAAGTAAAAAGACATCCTTATCGCCAGAGATGGGAAATTTAGGGCTGAGAAGGTTGTATAAAGAACCCTTGTTAAGGGATCCCTGGGTGGCGCAGTGGTTTGGCGCCTGTCTTTGGCCCGGGGCACAATCCTGGAGACCCGGGATCGAGTCCCATGTCGGGCTCCCGGTGCATGGAGCCTGCTTGTGTCTCTGCCTCTCTCTCTCTCTCTCTCTGTGACTGTCATAAAAAAAAAGAAAAAAAAAAAAAAAAAAAAAAAAAAGAACCCTTGTTACTTTTTACTCTTTTACTACCACAGCCCAAATTCTGTTTAGAATTCTTTACTAATTGAAGCTCCCAAATTTTTCTTTGTCCTGTTAATTCCCCAAGATTTCTTGTTTCTTTCTCCAATCTATATAAAAACTGCCTGCTTTAGTTATTTCCTTAGGTCTCAATTTCATAATTGGGCCTCTGTGCCCTTAGAATAAAACTAGGTTTTTCCCCTGTTAATCCATCTCACTTAAATTTAATTCTTAGTCCAGCTAGAAGATCTTGAGGGTAGAGGAGAATTATTCCTTTCCTTTAGCACACCACACACAAACACACACACACACACACACACACACACTCAAAAAACAAAAAGAGCTTTTAATTTAAAATATTGAAAATGTGATTATACTTATTAAAAACTCAGTGGGAGGACTGGATAATAAAATTAAGACAATCTTCCCAAAAGCAGAACCAAGATACAGAGAGAGGAAAGAAAATATAAGAAAATTAGAATATAAGAAATATTACATAAGAAATACAAGAAAATATAAGAAAATATCTAATACATGAACAAGAAGAGTTTCTGAAAGAAACATCATAGAAAGTGGAAAGGAGGAAATCATCAATGAGTAATTTTAAGAAAATTTCCCAAACTGAAGGATATAGGTTTCAGGATCCAAAGAGCCCAGAGCAGTAAAAGAAAGTAGATCCATACCAAGGTACAGCATCATGAAATTTCAGAATTATGGAGACCAAGAGAAAATTCTATAAACTTCCATAAAAGACTCAGAAGCCTTGTAAACTGTACACAAAACACAGGCAAAATTTGAGGAATCAGAACAGTTCTGAATTTCTCAACAGCAACACAACCTGAAGGCAAGGAAGCAATGCCTCCCAGATTTCCATTCTAAAATTCTAAACTGTACATTGTCTGGTCGAAAGCAGCTATTTCCAGGCATATGCTGTCTCAAAAAAGTTCATATCCCATGCATCTTTTCCAAAAAGCTTCCTGAAGTTGTGCTCCACCAAAACAAGGGAATCCACACCAAGATAGAGGAAGACATGTGCTTAACAAGAGATCCAACACAGGAGAGAAATATGGGGATCCTCAAGATGATGATGGACATCTTCAGGGTGACCGCTGGGCCCCACGTGTAGAGGGCAACTGTTCCAGATTAGGGCAAGCCAGGAGACTCACCGACCTCTTCAGGACAATGAAATTGATGATACTTGATGCGTGTGAAGCAAGTTTCAGAAATCTGGCCAAAAATTTTGGGCCAAATTAATAAGGACATACGAAACTAAATAAATGAACAAAATAATAGCAATTATTAACTCCAAAGAAAACAAAAAGTTGTGCTTGGCTTAGCTATGAATATTGATCTAACCAAAATTACTGTTTAACTACTATAAGGATGGTAAAATAAGGAAGCTGTGGTCAAGATGGGGGCGAGAGGAATAAAGGCAGCCACGTCATCATCTTCCACGGTGGGAAGTCAACAGATAATACTTCAAACTGCAAAACTCAAGAAGTAAGAACTGCAAGCAACAGATACCAAAATAACCAGCTCAAAGAATTACAAGTGGTTGTTTCCAGAGAGAGAGCAATGTAATTTAGATTAAAAGTTTATAATTTTTTTAAAAAAACTATATTGACTTCTGTGCCCAGGCAGGTTTACATTTATTTGCTTTCACTTTGTCTCCCTAATAGCAATTTGGCAAAATTCCATCCTTGTTTTTCCCAACAAAAGAAAATGTAATTCTCTACATCTATAGCTATTGTCATCTGAGCTCTGAGCAGTCAAATGTGGTGGGAAAGGCAATAGTTCTAATCCAACCCAAGGAAGGACTGGTTGAGCTAGGGCAGAAACAAAGACAAGTCCAGGTCAAGACGACTAAGCCCCTCTCTTCTGGGGTTCTTTTCAACAAAGCTATTCTCACCGCATAATCACGTGGTACAGGATAATCTTACAATTGCCAACCACCATGAGCCAATTTCACTCCTATCTAATGGATTCAAATGTCCCCCTTTATGACACTAATCCAACCAAGGCAGCTGGCCCCTACACCAACTGATCTGAGTTCAACTTCACTCCTCTTTACCTCTGTAGTCTGAATAACAAGAGAGAATAAGGGGCACTTTCCTCAACAGACATTTACTAAAGCATCCAAGGGGGACCCAGCACCAGGCTGGATCAACATCCCTGTGTCAACTATGCAGATCTCATCTCTCTGTCCTGAAAAATAAGTTGCTTCTCCCTAAGGGTGGGAATCCAGGGAAGGGTGGAGTCGGGGTGGAAGCCACAAAACTGGAAGAGCTGGGGCAGGGAGAGGAGGTATCAGCTGGCCAACCTGGAGTAACCTGTAAGCAGAGGTGTGCTTGGAGGCCCAGGACTCAGGCTCCTACTACTCTGGATATGCAGAGGAAGGCAGGGAGTCCCACAAGTCTTCCCCAAGCATAAAAGTAGACACAACCCTTCCAACCACCTATCAACGGTCAACTTTCCAGAGTGAAGGTTACCATTCTCTGAGCTTTACATGCTTTGATAAAATATAGCCCCTGCCTTGAGTATCTAGCTGCTGAGAAAACACGCTTAGTACAGAATAATTAAACAGGTTGAAAGTGCTAGAGCATACATTAACATTCCATATTCTTTTCTATTTGGGAAGATGTGAAATTTTTAGTTCAAGGAACAATGTGGAGCTAAGGTTTTGCCAACTACAGCAGGGCACTGATGTGCATGAGTCTACAACACCCGCCCTGTACAGTTCCAAAAACCTAAACATATACACACCCTTGTGGGAAGAATCAAACTCAAAAAAAAAAAAAAAAAGAATCAAACTCATTAGCATAAATACACTGCAGTCAGCATCATGAATTGGCAGGACGAGTAATATATTGATCAGATTAATTGGCGTACAGGGAAAGTATAGGTCTTTCCTAAACACTGAAAACATAACTGAACTAAAAACTGCTTTCAGGGATGCCTGGGTGGCTCAGTGGTTGAACATCTGCCTTAGGCTCAGGTCATGACCCCGGGCCCTGGGATCCAGTCCCAATTCAGGCTCCTCACGAGAAGCCTGCTTCTCCCTCTGCCTGTGTCTCTGCCTCTCTGTCTCTCACGAATAAATACATAAAATCTTAAAAAAAATTACTTTCCAATACACAGTAAAAAATTTCAACATACTTTCTTTTTCTCTGTATAAGTCATGATATTCCATACCACATGTGACTCCTGCTGGCTGAGCTACCAATGTCACAAACCCATCTGTTTAAACCTAAACTTAATTGAGAAAACCACTGGTTTGTTAAGGTTGTTTTTTCCTCCTCAGCACTTTAGGGCAGAACCATCTCAAAGAGAGTAAATTCTCAGAATTTCCTAAGAGGAAAATGGGCACTCATTGGAAAAATACAGGGTATACGCTTAACGATTTTGGATAACCTTCAAACCCACTTAGCCACCAGCCCATCCTGTTGTTCCCAACCCTTCTAATCAAATATTCCAGTTTCCAAAGAATGGCAATAGACGAGGCTGTTTCCGAACCTGGTACAGAGAAATGTGTTATTATTCTTTCTTGGGGCGGGGTGGGGGGGTGGCGGTGGGAATCAGATCAAAAAACAAATTTAGGGGATCCCTGGGTGGCGCAGCGGTTTGGCGCCTGCCCTTGGCCCAGGGCACGATCCTGGAGACCCGGGATCGAATCCCACGTCGGGCTCCCGGCATGGAGCCTGCTTCTCCCTCTGCCTGTGTCTCTGCCTCTCTCTCTCTCTCTCTCTCTCTCTCTCTGTGACTATCATAAATAAATAAAAATTAAAAAAAAAACAACAAATTTAGGATCCAAAGAAAAGTGCACACTCCAGTCAAGGTCCTAGTGTTTCCAATGCATACATTCACCGACTCCTATTTTCAAGATTCAAACTATTTCCCAGATTTAAAAAAACAAAAAAAAAAACCACCTGTGAGGTTGGTGGGGTGAGGCCCTCGGGCACGTACGACTGTGGAATGTCTCTGCGGACTGTGCCAACTTTCAGCGGAGCCTGCGCGGCCGCCCAACCGGAGGGGGGGACCCCACCTGGCCGCGCCGCCGGGAGGTGACCCCAACGTCGAACCCCGCGCCAGGTGGCCTCGGCCCCGGACCCGAAGGAAAAGGAGGCGGGTGCTCCCCGGGAGAGGCCAGCGCCTGAGCCCACAGGCGGGCGGCGGGGAGGCGGCGGCCGCGGGAGCGCGCACCTGTCCCTCCCTCCCGGACCCGAGGGCCCTGGTCCCTCACCTGGCGTGGCGCCCCCGTGCGCGCCGCGCTGGGGAGAAAACCCTCCTCCCGGGAGGGTCGGCTCCGGGCTCGTGGGAGCCGCCTCTCGCCTCGCGTCCGTCCTGCCCCGCCCTGCCCGCAGTCCCGCAGTCCCCGGCCGCCCCTGCGGACCCGCCGCATCCTTACCTGGCGGGAGCGCGCGGGCTGCGCCGAGCCGCGGACACTGCGAAGTCCCGCGGGCCCCGCCGCGTCCGCAGCCTGGAGCCCGCAGGCCCCGCCCCCGCCCCGCAGGCCCCGCCACGCCCACGCCACGCCCACGCCCCTCAGGCCCGCCCCCGCCCGCAGGCCCCGCCCTCGCCCCGCAGGCCCCGCCCCCGCCGCGCCCCGCAGGCCCCGCTCTGAGCCCGCCCCTCCCGGCAGGCCCCGCCCCCTCAGGCCCCGCCCCCGCCCGCGGCCACCGGTTCCCACGAGCCCTGCCGAGGTTTTGAGCCCGGAGGGGGGAGTCTCGGGTAAGTGGGGAGCGTCCCTTGTGCTCCCGAACGCGGCGCTGGGACTCCCTAGGCCTAGGCTTCCTGCCCCAGGAGGACCGCCCCGCGGGCTTGGGACCACCCCGGCCCGGGAGAGCCCCGAGCAGTGCCACCTGCGGGTGACTGGACCGCACCTCCCCTTCCGCTAAGGGAAGCGGGCCAGGCGGGTGACACGGTGCAGTGGAGCGAAGCCAGAGTTTTACGAAAAGAATAAGTCTTTTTCTGTCAAGCCTAAGGCATCGGAGCGTATCTGATACACCTATAGGGTCAGGTGCATTCCCTATTAGTATATTAATACTTCGTTCACCCACTGAAGAGTGGCAAACAGGACTTGTATAAGACTAGGTGCCCCGCACTGTTTCCATACTTTACAGGTATTCACATTTCTGCAAAGTGTACATCAGAATCCCCCATTTTACATGTGAAAGTGAGGCACAGAGAAGCTAAATAACCAACCTCATGACACCCGACTTAGTAACCTGAAAAGCTGGTATTTCAGTCCGGGTCGTCCTCCCCGGGAGTCTGCCCTCTGAACCACTGCTACCCGGACTCACCAAAATCTGAGCGTGCACCAGGCCTGGTGAACAGTTACAGGCCTGGGGGACACAAGGGCTCTGTCCTCCAAGGGCTTTTTATTCTAGTCTGGGGAGAAAGACAGTAAGCAAGTACAAAATGGAACCACTGCACCTACGAGAAGTGTCCCGACTATAATGGATAGTGATGAGGAGAGAGAGGTTACCTTACACCCAGTGTCCTGGAGACTTCACTGAGAAGGTGACAGCAGCGCTCAGCACTGAAGGAGAGGACAGTCCACCTGAAGATGAAGCTAAGGGAGTGGCAAGTACATTAATAGTTATTATAGCTCATGCTTGTTTGGGACTTTAAAACATATATTATCTCTCCTTTGACCATGCAATCACCTTGAGAAGCAGTCTGACAAGATTCATTTTACAGGGGAAAAAAAAAAAAAAAAAACCATAAACCTAAGGGTTGGGAAGTTTAATGACTTGCCTAAGTTATTAGTTAGGAAAAGGGGGTTGGGGGTGGGAAGAGGGCACATATTTGAACCAAGGCCTGATGCCAAATCTTTTCTCACTCTGGTGGAGTCCTTGAGTATAATGACCTGTACTTGGGATCTACTGTCTCTTGCCAGCCCCATCTCTCCTGCCTCTTATCCCCATCCAGAAACTACTGTTGACTCATTGACATAATTTCCCCCAGGGCAGGTGTTATTTGAGGGAGCAGAGGTGAAACTATAGGCAAAAAAAAAAAGAAATAAGAAATAAAATTGTGTGTATGTAGAGAGAGAGTTATAATTATTTATTATGGTGATAAAGTTGGTTTTCTCCCAAGAAAAATGCTCATAAACATATAAGTGAGAGGACTTAACACTTCCATCAAATTGATCCCAAAAAAGGTAGCAGAGCCACTGTCTTAAAGGGTTGGTTGATATTGTGGTGATTAAAAGTTCTCCAGAGGGATCCCTGGGTGGCGCAGCGGTTTGGCGCCTGCCTTTGGCCCAGGGCGCGATCCTGGAGACCCGGGATCGAATCCCACATCGGGCTCCCGTTGCATGGAGCCTGCTTCTCCCTCTGCCTGTGTCTCTGCCTCTCTCTCTCTCTCCCTGTGTGTGACTATCATAAATAAATAAATAAATAAAAATTTAAAAAAAAAATAAATAAATAAAAGTTCTCCAGAAAACCAGAGACAACTGATCTGTAAACAAAATATCTAGATAACAGAATTCATTATCAGTGATAGTTGAGGTAGCTTCCATGATGTTATACTGTTTCCTAAAGAAGACATTCATCATATTATCAGCGTAGGTAGGTGGTTGCCACAGGTGTATCATGTCCAAAGCATGCAGTATAGAGTACTGGCAATTGTTTTCAGCAGAAGGTTGATAAGAAGAGAAACAGAGATAAAGACAACAGGAGAAACTTTTACAGAATTTCAGCTACACCAGTGAAAAGGTGTAAAACTGAACTCAGGATGTGGTGGGCTACAAAAACCATTAAATCTTTATTATTTCTTATGTGACAAGTTCAGTAGCTTTAATAGAAAATGGAATACAGTTTAGGCCCATATAACTCAACTTTTACACTGGGCCCTCATGGAAAGAAGGAATCTGGTCGTGCCGGACTTTAAAAGACTTCTTCTGCCATCAAAGAGAAGATTCCAACAATATCATTACTGTCTTCTTTATTTTAAAATAACATTGAGGAACAGGAAAAAAAGGCATTAATGTAGACTTCTTGGAGGCGGGGACTCGCTCCTTACAAGTTATCGCTGTGGCTTCTATAAAATTTGTATGTTAAGATGAGCAGTATCAGGTTGACATCATTTTGAGTGAAGTTCATCATTCTTTGAGCGAGGAAAATGGCTCTTTTTAACTTGCACACAGATTCCACATTGTGCATTAAAAGACACACTCAATCAATGTGGAAGGTTTATAAATAAAATGATGTTTGTATTTGGAGCTCATCACACTTTTTTTGTCTTTCTTTTATAATTTTCTTCCTACCCAAAAAAGACCTGACCCACCCTGCATGAATAATTCATGTTTGTTGAATGAATGAATGATGATGACAATGATGAAAGTAGTATAGACCTTATCAGTCTTTTATCAACAGTCTGTTCCTAGGAGAAAATGATGACTTCACTGTGGTGGTATGATATGTCTGCTTCTCTTTCCATCATGTACTGAAAGTACTTGTTTCTTTGAAACTACACAGAAGGAAAGAAAGTTTTTTTGGTTGTTTGCTTTTTTAAAGTAAGCTCCACACCCAACATGAGGCTTGAACTCACAGCCCTGAGATCAAGAGCTGTACATTCTACCCACTGAGCCAGCCAGGCACCCCCTGTAGGAAGTTATTTTTTAAGATTTTATTTATTTATTTATTTATTTATTTATTTATTTATTTATTCATTCATTCATTGATTCATTCATTCATTTGAGAGAGAGCAAGCACAAGAGTGGGGAGAGGGGCAGAGGGAGAGGAAGAGAGAGAATCTCAAGCAGACTCCCCACTGAGCATGGAGCCTGATGTGGGGCTTGATCCCACGGTGCTGAGATCATGACCTGGGCCAAAATCAAGAGTCAGGCACTTAACTGACTGCACCATCCAGGTGCCCCAGGAAGGAGTTTTAAATGTTGGGTGCAAAATTAAGAATTATACTCCTGCAAACAGTTGCTAAATAAATCATTCAAAAGAAAGAAAAAGCATCAGATACAAAGTATGTTCATAAGATCATCACTAATAATGAGGCAATAATTAAATGCTCAATAACAAGGCAATATTTAAACAAAACATCAATAGTATAGTATGTCAAGCTGTCACTAAAAATAGTATCTAGGTTAATAAAATAGAAATGAAGAGAAAAACATGAACATTAAGTGAAAAAGAAGTAGAACATAATGCTTTATGTATCCTGTGATTGCAACTGAATAAAAAATCATGTGGGAAGAAAATCGTTGGGTTGAAAATAAGAATAATGATGAATAGCTATTGAGCAGGTTGCAGTGTGCCAGCTTCTGTTTTCAGTACATTAGATTAATTCGTCTAATTTTCACAACAGCTGTGTGAGGAAGGTACAGTTGTTATTTTTGTTTTACTGATGAGGAAACTGAAACAGGAAGATGTGAGTAATTTGACCAAAGTCACACAGTTAGTGAGTGGCAAAGCTAGGATATGAATATAAAGCAATATGACTCTAAAGCTTGCACGCTTACCCAGGCGAATCTGGCAGAGAAAATAATGTTTGAATCATGGATCATGAGTTTTGGGGTGTTTTTTTTTTTAAGATGTATTTATTTACTTTAGAAAGAGTGTGTGAAATCATGCACCCATAAGGTGGGGATGGGCAGAGGAAGAGGGAGAGAGAATCTTGAGCAGACTTTTTGCTGAGTGTGGAGCCTGATGCGGCCCTGAGATCATGACCTAAGCCCAAATCAACAGACACTTAACCAACTGGGCCACCCAGGTGCCCCAGATCATGGTTTTTTTGTTGTTGTGTGTTAATATTTTCCTTGTATAATATTTTTATGTTGATTCAATCATAAGCAAAAACTTTAAATTGCAGAGTCAGAAAAGAAAGCATAGAGGCTAGACCAGATTACACTCAGAAGAGAGATACAAAGGTAAAAATGAGAAACATACTGAGTGAAACCCTCTGGGTTGGGCCAGTTTATGTTTTGGATTAGGATCTAAATAGTGTTTTCAAATGGGTACAATATATCAATGACTTGATAGTTTATGAGAATTGAGATAAAATGAGCTATGAGACAACAAATGTTATATTCATTATTATTGGTATGAATAAAAAGTATATGCTGGCCTGATGTTGTACTTGCTTTTCTTTCTGCCTAGGATGCTCTACACCCCGGACTTTTTGAAGCTACCTTCTCAACAGTGACAGTCATAAAAATGTGACCATCACTGCATTAGCAGAAAACTGAGAAAACCCTGGTGAACAATCCTGAAAAAAAATCCCTATTATGGTGGAGTGTACATTATAGGGAAAGGTCAGTCATTTAAAAATTGATTTACGGAGTACCTGGGTGGCTCAGTTGGTTAAGGATCTGCCTTCAGCTCAGGACATGATCCTGGGGTCCTGGGATCAAGCCCCAGATCAGGCTCCCTGCTGAGCAGGGATTTAGTTGCAAGTAAATGATTTCCCCTCTGGTAGGCGAATAATGGCCTCCAAAGATATCCACATCTTAAATCCCTGGAAC